TTGGAAACCTCTGCCTTCAAGGGAAGAAGCGTTTTGACTGGAGGCTGGGGGTGAGTCAGTCAGGCAGGTATACCCCAATGTGCGCTCAGCATGGGCCTGGGTCCTAGCCTCAGGAAGCAGTGAATTTCTACCACAACTTTGTATTTACAGATGGGAATGGAAACACAGGGTGAACGGTATGATCAGCTTGGAACTGAACCCAGACATGGCCTTGTGATAAAACTTCCTAAGAATAGGACTTCTTGGAGCCTGGTCATTAGAGGGCTTAGTCAGACTTTCAGTGATCCCTCAAAGGCCCAGGTGCACACTCCTGGGTGACTGTGGCTTCTACTCCTGCAAGGCTTACCAAGGAACCAGAGTCCCTGAGCTCTGGGCTGGGGAGCAGTGGGGTCAGAGGGATCATTTGTACATCCCCTGAAGTACAAATGTGTGCATGTGAGCCTCAGTCGACCATCCTTTATTAAGGTCTGTGCAGAAGACATGGTTCCAGGCCAGTTCTGAGCACCTGGTAAGGGCCAGCCTTGGTGAGATGAGTGGAGCCACCGTCCCCAAAAGCTCAAGTGTGAAAAGGCAGAATGTGCAGTGAGAGCCTGCTCAGAGGCTGCAGGGCCAAGGAACAGTTGTTGGTATGGCTGTTGTGTGAAGACCAGACTGGTGGTGAGGGCAGCTGTCCTGAAGCTCGCCAGCACAAGAAGAGAACAGGAACAGCTAGTGGGGCAGCAGTGGTGGGGCCCTGAGCTGTTTTATTGCAGAGAGTACAAGTCTGGGGTGAAGGGACAGCAGGAAGAGGCTACAGGGACAGGTTGTTCTTTGACCCAGGTGAATGTGGGTGCTGAACTTTAGATGAGACAATGAGAATTCCTACTTTTTAAGAAAGGAGGCTGGTTTTGTTCATCACACTTCCTGCATGACAGTTACCTGTAGGTGGAGGGTGCTTTCACAACAGGCTCCCTGTGGCCAGACACCGGCAGAGAGTCACTACAGCCCAAGTAAACCACAAAGTAAATGTGGGGGCAGGGGCAGACATCAAGTGGAGTGGGAGACCTTTCCATTTGGAGCTTCCTCTCTCCTGTAAACCCACCTGGGCTCCTAGTTGGCAGGATGGCTTCACTATGCTTTCCTTACAAAGGCTTTGGTTGGCTGGGCAGGGAGGTCCTACCTTAGTCTGGAGCAGATAGCTGTCCATTTTGCCCACAGCATTCCTGTGCCTCACTGGTAGGTATGTCAGATGCTTCTGCCATCTTGGGACAAGTGGACAGCTCATGTATAATGAACCACATATGCTGCCTTGCTTTCCACATCTGCTCCTGTATGCTGCATGGCCAGTGGGCCTGCTGCTGTCCTTTTGTAGGCAGCTGATGGGGATGAAGCCAGATCATGTGTGACCTTTGGTGATCTTGTTCTCCCCTCACCTCCACTCATAAAGGAGGAGGGTATTGTTGCCAGTGCTGTGAGCTGACTCACAGCAACCCTTTAGACAAAAAAACCTTGCCCTGTCCTGTGCCATTCTCAATCTCTGCCACATTTAAGCCCTGTCGCTGTCACTCTTCATTGAGGCTCTCCTCTCTTCTGCTGATCCTCTATTTTTCTGAGCATGACGTCTTTTTCCAAGGACTGGTCCCTCCTGACAAAATGTCTAAAGTATGTGAGAAGCATCATCTTCATTCTTGCCTCCAAAAAACACTCTGGTTGCATTTTCTCCAAGATGGATTTGTTCTTTTGGTAGTTCATGGTATACTCAACACTCTTTGCAAACACAATGCAAAGGCATCAATTTTCTTTTGTTTCCCAACTCTTACATGATACAAAGCAACTAAAAATACTATGGCTTGGGTCAAACACACCTTAGTCTTCACAATGACATCTTTGTTCTTTCGTACTTCAAAGAGGTCTTTGACAGTAATTTGCCTGATGCAATTTGCCTTTTAATCTCTTGTTGCTATCATGGGAGTTGACTGGGGAGGTAGATAAAACGAAATCATCAACACCTGCAGTCTTTCCACTATTTATCATGGAGCTCATTTATCATTTAGCTCAAGGAGCTGGGTGCTGTTCTCTGGTTGTTGGAATCCACCAGGGGCTCTGCAGGAGAAAGACGGGCAATCTCTTCCTGTGCGATTTACAGCTTCAAAAAACTCGCTCGATAGAGGGTGGCTATGAACTGGTCCTGACCTGATGGCAATTAGTTTGAGTTGTAAAATTATTTAAAATTAATTATTTATTTAATGATTGCTATTTTTTGGGTGATGACAAGTCTTTTAAAAACACTTTTACAAAGCTGTACTCACCGTGTGGCACTTTCTCTTACTTGGTCCTGCATATCAAGGCAGGACGCTCTCAGCCTGGGCAGCCTTTTGTGTTGTAATGAATGAGGACTGGGAAGTCCCCACCATTTGGACAGAGCACACACACCAGCACTGTGTTTCAAGGTTTATTTCACTGACTAACAATCTAAACAAAAACAATTAAATTATTTGTCCTCCATCAAAAAAATTTTTGTATGAATAACCAAAAGATATTATCAACACTTTAATAGGAAGCTATAAATAAATAAAGCTCCTGGGTTTTAGTCTCCGATTCAGCAAAAGGTCATAGACTTAATTTCTCAGACATATCTCTTCCTGGCTCTCTGCCCAGAACAATCTTTGCAGGGTCTGCACTGGGAGTGGTTTAGTGACCAGTATCTGCTTGTGTCCCCACAGACCCTAGAAGGTAGAGGCTCGTTGTCCCCACCCCTGTGGCTAACCAAATCCTGGGTGGGCAGAGTCTTCAGGGTCTGGAGTGGGTGTACCACCACCATGAAGTCCCAGGAAATGCTGGAGGCATCACACAAACTGAGCCCAAAGCAGGTAGTCTAAGTGGAGAGTGCACAGACTAAGGTGTGGCAGGCTCTGCAGGCTGGACCATGCTGGGCACCTTGGCCTGGGGCCAACAGGAAACGGACCAAATTTTTAAAATGCAGCAAAGAAACCAAGAAAAGCCAGTGTGATTGGGACAATAGTGCATAAATTAAAACATGTTCCAGTATATACAGAACAGGCCATGTGCCCTATTCAGGTCTACTCTGAGGAGTCTGGTGTGGTATGGCTGGGAGCTTGGAGTGCAGGCAGGACAGCATACAGCTTCTGCTTGTGTGTCCTCCAGCCTCCCCTCCATAGTAGCTCGCAGGGTTCAGGTGGCTTCTGCCAGGAGGGGTAAGCCTCAGAATAATGCCACCCAAAATGAGGCTCACCTCAAAGCAAGCTCACTCCAAGCAGTGTTGGTACTGGCTGTGCTCCCTTTGAAAAAGGTGCTACTAGCTTGCTGGCCCTCTCCTGTATTCTCCACCTACCCACATCAGGGCAGCAGTGCACCCTCATCTGTCTTCACTGGATCCAAGGCGTAGACTGGCCAATATAGGATGCTCTGAGGGGACCTTGGACAAATGCCATCAATGATAGAGTAGCTCTACTTGGACTACACGCTCTTTTCTACCAGCTCCATTCCTGCACCTATTGTATTCCTTCATGCATGGTGGAAGAGTGGGGGCTGGAGAAAAACCAGGGTCAGGGAAGGAAGGAGAGTCCTTGCAGGTCAGCCCCATTCAGGTGGCTCCAAAGTACCCCTGCCCTAAGGAAGGCATGTCCTGTGGGACATTTCTCCTCCTGGAGCACACAGGGGTTCTGACAGGTCACCCTTCCCTCTATACCTCAGACAGGGAACCCTCGTGCAGTTCCCTGGAATGCTAGATTTGGGATCTTGAATGGAGAGGGTACTCTGGCAGGACACTTCTAGAGTGCCAGGTGTGGGGAGCAAACACAGAAGATGAGGCATGGAGCTGGGTAGGGTGGGAGTGTGTGTTGTATGAGGGCATAGGGATGCAGAAAACATTGAAAATAATACAAAACATGGCTTGTCATACAGCCATCAGCTAGAATGCAGAGCCTGACCGGTTTGGAAGGGGACAGGGAGGTAGGGAAAGGAAGAGACAGCCCTTGGGGGTGGTAAATTAAGTTTGTGAGTACCAGAGAGTCCCCGAAAATTGTTCCTTCCAACCCCAGGAGAAACTCTGCAAATTCAAGTCCTTCCCAGCCCCCAGACACTGCTGTCCAAGCATGGGCCAGCAGGCTCTAGCCCAAGTGCTATGACTGAGACCCAGGAGTCCTTGGACAAGTCTCACTGGTGAGGCATGGAACAGGCAGCCTCCACATGAGCAGAGTACTACAGTGGAGAGGAGAGGCACATCCCCAGCTCCTTGGCCTCCCTGTCCCTAACATGGTCTTCCCTGGCTACAGCCTTCCCACTCCTAGGGTACCACAAAGGCGAGCAATGCAGGGTAGAGACACCTTCCCAGGATGAGGACTACAGGCAGTGGGTCGGTGAAGCATGAAGCAAATGAGACTCTGACCTAGGAAAGCTTATTAAAGTCCAGTGTCTCATCTTCCCTGCTACAGACAGGGTGGAGGGTGGTGTTGGGCTCTCCATTCACTTTCAAAGGCTGCAGGTCCCCAGGTAACTGGGACCAACAGAAACAGTTAGAGGTACTGGGAGCTGGTCTACCTCCCCCTGGCTGGACAGGGATGGGGACTGTGCATAGGTTAGTGCATAGGTTAGTGCTGGCTTCCAGGGCAGAGCAGGCCGGCCCTGGTTTTGCATCTGCTCCTATCTGCGTCTGCTTTCTCTATGGGCACACTTTTATCTTCTCTATGGTACACTCAGGGCTGGCAGGTCCACCTTGCTTTTTATCTTCTTCACGCCTTGGCTGTGATAGGGAGTAGAGGCCAGGAGAGCAGAAAGGACCTACCTTTCCTGACTGACTAGGCACCTTCCCAGCATGAATTCCTTTGATCTCCCGGATTTCTTCATTTATTTCTAAGAATCCTGGTCTTAGAGAAATGGTAAGACTATTTCCCCACCCACTCTCACTCCCTGTTTCTGGATTTGTAAGATGGAGTCCCCTGGTCTCCATCCTACAGAGCAATGGATAGGCCCCAGGACCACTGTGACAGTGGGGCTCACGGCTCCACAGTGCTCTACCACTTCTCGATGATGTGGCTCATGTAGTCCTCTGTGGGCACCCGGCCTGGCTCCTCAGCATCCTCCTGGGCCAGGGCCTCCTTGGCACGGTGCAGCAGGTGTTCTTCACGGCTGCGCAGGCGCTGTTCCCGACGCTCCAGCTGTCGCTTGTACTGGTAGCGCTGCTGGAAGAGATCCTTGGCATAGTCGTAGAGCTGCATGTCCAGCTCATTGAGCTCCTCAATCCGGCGGATGGTGTCCTCTCCTGCCTCCACGCCACCTGCCCGGGTGCTGTTGTATTGCATGAAGGGCCGGATGAACTTGAGGTTGAACGTCCGCTCAAACAGGTACTGTGTCTTGCGCTGGAACTCGGTCAGGCCGAAGAAGGCCATGTCTCGCAAGTTCTTTTTGGCGCTTTCAAGCAGCAGCTGGGCACGCTTGCTCTCGGGGATGAAGGACAGGTTATAGCAGCCCACCAGGCTAAGATCGGCCAGCATGCGAACTTGGCGGTTGTTGGCCAGGTTGTAAGGGCACTCCATGAATTCCTGTAGCGTGCAGCCTGACCAGTCTGTGCCTTCATAGCAGGGTGGCAGCTCCTCGGGCGTGGGTGTGCGTCCATCACACATGTGTAGGGATGTCTTCCAGGTAGCACCCCGCTGCACGTGCCGCCACTCACTTAGGTAGCGTGAAACGGGATCTCGCAACAGGGTGATGTAGTAGAACTTTCTGCAATGAGACAGAGAAGTGATGAGGTGGGGCAAGGCTGGGGTGTTGGTGTGGGAGGCTCAGCACTGGAATGCAGTGGACTGGGCCAGAGCGCCAGCCCTGAGTGGGCTCCTAACTCCATGGCTACTGTACCAACAAGTTGCCTCCCCTCTAAGACAAACCACTGAGTCTAGCTCTGCTGGGGGTGATGAGCTCTCACCAAGGACCCACAGCTATGACGGTGCCCACCGTTCTCTGGCCTGGGGAGGTGAGGCCAGAGCACTGAGTAAGTGTATATTTCCATGTACCCCATGATACTGACCTCTCAGGAGAAAAGAGTAAGAATCAGAGGTCACTCAGTAGAGATGTAAGAGGCTGTGGGAGAGGAGTCTGCTAGTCACCAGATCACCAAGGTGTTAGAAAGGCAGGAACCAGCAATAAGCAAAGCGCTATGGGAGCTAGAGTGGAAGCTGCCTGACTTCCTTGAACCTTTTACCCTCCCATCCCCATGCCCCATTTAACTTCTCTTCTAGACAGTGGGGTGGGATGGAATATATGTTCTTGAGTGTTGCTGGTGATGAGGAACAGCAATCTGGGCTCTAGTTGTGCTTTTATCTCCTTGACCTCTGCAGCACACCAAGGCCTATGCGGGGAGACTCTGCCTGCAGCCTTCTTTCACCTGACCTTCACCACTTACCCAGTGCGGCCTTACCCCTCAGTGTCACCTCCTGGGGAAGTCCTAGTGTGCCTTTCTCAGCTTCTGTCAGCAGCAGACCCAGGGGTGGGAAAGAAGAGGGAAGAGATGCCTTTGCTGTGCCCCAGATTAAGAGTGGGCAGGGTCACTGGGTCTCTCCTAATTTCATTGGTACAACCCAGGGGGGACCCTAGAGCTCAGAGTTCCAGCCTGAGGGTCCAGGTGAGGAGGCTATGAGACAGTGTAAGAAACATTTGCTCACAATTTCTCACAGAGACCAAGTAGAAGACACTGCATATCCTACACTGCACGTCCTACAGTGCACGCCCAACAGTGCATATCTACTGGAAATACCCCCAATCTCCACAACAATCTCATCCATATACACAAAGCCAGGACTACCCTCAAGATGGATCAGGAGCCTGTTCCTATCCTGCTGACATAAACAGGCAGTTGTGGCCAGTTCCTGAATACAGAAATCAGTGTGATCTGTACCATTCAATGAAAGTCCTGCCCACTCTGCCCCACACACAGCCCAACATGGCACAGTGGGCAGAGCAGCTGAGCATGGCTCTGAGGTAGCCTGCCTCGTGATACCAGCAGCCCTGCATGCTACAGGCCTGGACTTTGGAGCCTTAGTCCTGCATCCGCACTGGTGCCCACCTGACTCGAGCCCTGCGGACCTCACACACAAAGAGGATGAGGGGTTGGCTAGGCTCTAGGAGATGCCATTCAGGAGCAGCATGGCTATTCTGGGACGCATCTGCTCGTAATATGTGAGAAATCATGAACCTGCTGATTTCTACCCTTGCTTCTGGGGAGGTTGGTCACAATGACCCCTAGCCCCAGAAGCCCTGAATCTAAAGTCATTCTCCTCTTAAAGCTGTTGGCTTAGGGAGGGCCTTCCCTCTGACCTCAGCAAAGACTGGAGAACCTGATGGTCAAGGGGCTCTGCTTCCAGCTTCCTGTGTCAGTCCAGATTGCCACACACTGGGGTCCTTCATGCTCCCTGGGTGTAAGCTACCCCTAACTGCAGAGATGGCTGGATAGGCCCTATCCAAAACTGTAGGTTGTCACTGGGGTCTCCCAGAGAACAGTCAGCAGAATCAAGCAGACAGATGAGTGTTTGACTCAAGGAGCTTCCTGCACTTGTGAAGTCCTAGTATCTACATCTGGGAATTCTGGTGGCCTAGTGGTGAGGAGCTGTGTTGCCATCTCAAAGGCAAATGCTTCAAATCCACCCAAACCTCCCATATAGAGAAGATTGAGAATCACCTGGTTTCTCAGGGAGGCAAGTAGAGCCATGTGTCTTGGCTGTCGCTCCTGCTGTAAGCAGTACCAAGGAATGCCTTCTAGGGGTTTTCTCCAGGCCTGGCATTACTTTCTAGATGCTCGGCAGGTGTCCTTCACCATACTAAGGATGGGCCCCAACACTGAGCGCCTGGGAGATACTAGTTCTGTGGCTGCACAGTCAATACAGAGTAGAGGGAGCCCTAGATAGGTGAGGGTGCATGGAGGCTCATGTAAAAACATGTCTGCATGTTTTACAGGGACCAGGGTGTGTGGTGTGTACATGGTCAGACTGTCTTAAGCTGTAAACTGCACAACAGGAATACCTTCAAACTTCCCCAAATCTGAGACATGGGGTACATGCCCACTCTGACACGTGCTTCTTTCTGAAGGAGCTGACTGTGACACACAGGTCTGATCCATGAGTTTTCTTCATTAGGAGCCAGGAGGTCAACGCCTGCCCAAGGTGGTGTGGGAACTGCATGCTGGTTTCACCAAGTTTGTGAAGGTGTAAGCTGAGAGTCCCTACAGGACCCAGATCCCCAGCTCTGCCTGAGAGTGGGCAGGCAGATACAGAGGAACCACAGGTGCAGGTGGGAGACCGGGGAGAGGTAGGCTGGCAGAGAAAAATGCAGGTGGCCCAAGTGAATGTGAGATAAATAATAATTGTTTGTTGTTTTTATGTGCTGTCGAGTCGCCAGTGACTCATAGTGGCCCTTTGTACAACAGCCCTAAACCCTGTTCTATTCCTTGCATATTTTCATTACCCCAGTGACTCAATCAATCCATCTCATCAAGGATCTTCCTCTCCTACCCTGTTCCTCCACCCTCCCAAGCAAAACGTACCTCTCCAAGGACTGATCTCGCCTTGCAACATGTCCAAATTATGTCAGACAGAGCTTTAGAATCCTTGCCTCTAAGGAGCAGCCTGGCTTCACTCTCTCCAGGAGGAACTTGTTTGTTCTGCTAGCAGTCCATGTTATATTCAATATTCTTCTCCTGGACCAAAACTCAAAGGCACCAACTCTCCTTCTATCATCCCTAGTCATTGTTCAGCTCTCCGAAGCATACCAAGTAATTGCAAAGACCATGGCCTGTATCAGGCGCACCTTAGTCTTCAGACTGACATTGTTGCTCTTCAGTACTTTCTAGGGGTCTCTAACCGCAGACTTTCCCATTGCAATAAGTCTTTTAATTTCCTAGCTGCTGGTGCCAAGAGAGTTGACTATGGAGCCAAGCAAACTAAAACTGAACAATCTCTTCACCATCCATCATGATGCTGCCAATCGGCCCAGTGGTGAGAATCTTTGTTTTGTTGAAGACTGGAGTCCTTGACCTTCTGCAGCAAGAGCTTCAGGTCCTCCTCAGTTTCAGCAAGCAAGGATGTGTCATCTGCATAATACAGACTGTTGATGAGTCTACTTCCAATCCTGATGCCACACTTCTTGTCACAGAGACCAACTTCCCAAATGATTAGTTCCACTTAGAGTTGAAAAGATATGGAGATAGGACACATCCCTGGTGTACACCCTTCCCAATTCTGAACCTTGCAGTTTCCTTGCTCTGTTCTGACAACTGCCTCCTGATTCTGGGATTCCCATTCTTCTCAGAGTCAGCCAGAGTTTGTTGTGATCTGCACAGTCAAGCCTTTGTATAGTCAATGAAACATAAATAGACATTCCTCTGGTACTCTCTGCTTTCAGCCAAGACCCATCTGACATTAGCTATAATATTCCTAGTGCCATGGCCTCTTCTATATCCAGTTTGCACTTCAGGCAGTTCTCTGTTGATGTGCTGTTCCAGTCGTTTTTGAATAATCTTCAGCAGAATCTTGCTTGCATGTGATATCAATGATACTGTTCGATAATTTCCACACTCTGTGGGATCACATTTCTTTGGAATGGGAACAAATATAGATCTCTTCCAGTCAGTAGGCCAGGTGATTGTCCTCCAGATTTCTTGGCACAACTTGGTGAGTGCGTCTAGGGCAGCACCTGTTTGTTGAAAATATGTCTATTGGTATGCCATCGATTCCTGGGGCCTTGTTTTTTGTCAATTCTTTCAGAGAAGCTTGAACTTCCTCCTTCATCACCACAGGCTCTTGCTCATACCTTGTTTCTTGAAATTCTTCTGTATCCATCAATTCCTTTTGGTACAATTAGTCTTTTATACTCTATCTTCTTTTAATGCTTCCTGGATCATTTAATATTCTGCCCAAAGCATCCTTAATATTGCAACTCGAGGTTTGAATTTGTTCTTCAGTTCTTTTAGATTAAGAAATGCTGAGCGAGTTCTGCCCTTTAGATTTTCTGACTCCAGCTTCTTGCACATTTCATTGTAATAGTTTACTCTGTCTTCCAGCACTGCCTTCTGGAATCTTCTGTTCAACTCCTTAGTATCTTGATTTCTTCCCTTTGCTTTGGCTTCTTGGTGCTCCAGTGCAATATTTAGAGTTTCTTCTGACATCCATCTTGGTCTTTTCTTCCTCCTTTGTCTTTGTAATGACCTTGTGTATTCTTCCTGGATGATATTCTTGATGTCCTCCCACAGCTCATCTGGTCTTTGCTCATTAATGTCCAAGGCCTTAAACCTGTTCCTGAGATGGTTTATTCAGGTGGGATAGACTCAAGGTCAACTTTTGGTTCCTGTGGACTTAATTTTCCTCAGCTTCAACTTGAACTTGCATATGAGTAGTTGGTGGTCTATTCCACAATCAGCACCTGGCCTAGTGGTCACAGCTGTTATTGAGCTTCTCCAGCAATTCTTTCCACAGATGTAACTGACCTGATTCCTAAGCATACCATCAGGTGAAATCAATGTGTACAGCCTGTGTTTGTGTTTCTTATAAAATGTATTTGTAATGAATAAGTCTGTGATTGTGCAAAATTCTATCATTCTATCTCCGGCTTCATTTCTGTCACCAGCTCCATGTTTTCTAACTGCTGATCCTTCTCTATTCTCAACTTTTGCATTCCAGTCACCTATTATTATTATTATTATTACTATTACTATTATTATTATTAATGCATCCGGACTG